TTTTTAGTGACTTTTCTAAGGGAAAGGGCAAAATATGCGGTTTTTCAAAAAACTCTGTTAACTCATCTTATTCGCCTGCAAGCAAAACAGTGACGTCAGCACGATGATCAGCGCACTCGAATATCTATATACTGGCACTTTTAACGACTAAAAGCTCGAATTTTGGGAAAAGTGAGCCATTTTTACAACGCCTGTATCTCGGCAAGGAAGCAAAATTTTCGGGATCGCTTAGATACCATTCGAAAGAGGACCTCGAGATCTACAAACCCAACGGAAAAAATTAAAAAAAATTTTCACCCCAAAATAGGCTAATTTCGCTAATTTTAATTAATCAGGAAAATATTTTGGAAAATTTTTATTTTCGCATAGGTTTATTGCCCCAACTGTTTTCTTTCGATTGGCGAAAACCGCAGGTCGCTAGCTTTTGTTGTTAAAAGTTATTCAAAAAACATCCACTTGCACGATTCATTGAAATGGATAGTAGTTTCACTTTTCACCGGCAACACTATTGATGATATTGTAAAGTCGTTCGCTGTTGCTCTAGAGCGAGAGAAGTCAGGTTAGCTAATATTTTATCATTAGATGTGATATTCAAAATTCGAAAAAGCGTTCATGTTGTTTCACAGTTTTTGTTGCCATAATACTTTAGTTTTAAATACATTCAACTGTCTTTCTATTTATTATAATCAAATTTTTTCAAATTATTCTCTAAAAATTATTTGATATATTTAAATAAAGCCTAGTTAAACTTCTCAATTATTTAGTAATAATACTATTAAAAAGTAACCAATAATTGGCTAAAAATATAACGAAACATAAATAGAGACGATTTTCTCAAATACTTTTGTCTAGCTTGATGTATGATTAAAATTGTCGAAAGTACGTTTCTGTACTACTTAATATTTGAGTGTTAGCTTTTTAATAGATCTAAAATATATGTTCTATGCCATTACATGTTTCTTCATCCAAAGTTCATCATTACTATTGAATAAAAGGTATAAATGTAATAAAGAATGGCTAATCATCTGCAAAGAAACAAAATAAATGATATAAAGACATTGACACCAACAAATGTAGATGCGAATCAGGTCACTTTTAGAATTCTTGTATATTTTTCAAATGTAAAACCCTCGTTTTCATCTATTTCTTAGGAAAAATAGCTTGTCGTTCAACCTGTTGTTGACTGATACACTCAGTAGTATTTTTCAGTTCATTATTCAGTTCAATTATTCGACCAAATATTTATGACAATTTGAAATTGCATTTTATTGCACTGCTAAAATAATTCTCTATGATTGACATAGATTTAAATCAAAGAGTGGAAATGAATATGAAGTACAACTTTGAACGTACAAAAACAAAAAACTTTACAATAAAATACAAATACCTTTGGTTTTATCAACTGAAAAAATGTTCCTGTTGGTGTTTATTATTTTACTACTATAAGATTAGTTACTACAATCGCAAATAAAGAGCGAGTTCAAACATTCATTTGTAAGTACGTACAAAAATAATTTTAACGAAGAAAAAACAACGATGAGAGAATAAAAAACATCTAACTTGTGAGTATTGTAATGTGGAAGGAAATAGACACTTCCGATTATAGGAAAAACGAACAAAAATAAAAAAAAAAGAAATGAATACACCGTGAGTTATTTCTGTTGTAGAACAACGACTGTTGTTTATAAGAGTTACACGAACAAAAAACAAATTGAACGACTATCAATAGAGAAAAGACATTGAGTGAAAAACAAGTATGAAAGTTTTACTGCCGCAATTAATCAAAATTCCTATAATTTTTAGAACAGTCTTTATTGAGCAACATACATGCAGGAATAATAAAGATTACTTTCAATAGATTATAAACTTCTTTTTCAACGCAAGTCAACTGCATTTGAACAAAATGAATTAACCACGAGCATTCATTGCTAAAACTCGAGCTATTTTCATTTGTTTACTCTATACGATAGTAACAGCATCTGACTTTCATGATAAAGTAGATCGCTAAAAAAATATAATCATTTGTTTTATCCATTGAATTATAATCAATAAACAAAAACAAATACAGATATACGAACTGATGTGTGAGATGTACAAAAGTGAAGTGCTCTTAACTGGTATTAACTTGATGTAAATCACTTTTATCTCGAAAATTGACTTGTTTACTAAATAGTGTTTTCATATCATCAGATAATTTTTCATTTATGATTATATTTATTTTCAATTTTAATTTTTCAATACAATCCTCTTTGATATTGTCATCTATGGTAATTTGATCAGTTTCTATTTTCGATACATAATCATTTAATTTCAACAAAAGATCAATTAACTCAATTTCATTTGTTATAAATGATAATAAATCATTTTCTAAATGACAGATGGCTATTGTCTCAATAAATAAACTAAATATTTTTAGTTCTGCTTCCGTTTGTCTATTCAATAACCAATGTTTAAAATTTGGTGTTCGTAAAAAATGTTTATATAATTCTTTCCAATCACCTTTTAATCCACTTGTTAATTGTGGACCATAGAGATCGAGTGTTTTCAAAAATTCATCATTATCAAATATTTTAATTGGTGGTTGTTTACGATTCGGTATGTAAAATTTTTTTAACGGTAATAGACTAGTAAAATAACGTTCTAATGGTATAATAAAACTTTGAGTTAATTCCAAAAAAAATCGTCTTAATAATGCATTTTGAACGTTATCTGGACGCTGATGAGCAGAATTTTGTAATTTTTTTAAAATAGTCTTATCACGTTGTAGATGTGGCTTATATTTTGTGTAAAGACCGGGTTTCATGTCGAACGTCAAGTGAGAATTACCAGCACGAAATGGAGTCGTTTTACGTTTATACGGTTGAGTGATTGGTGATATTATTTTTGTTGGTACTATTGGTGGTTGAATATTGCCTATATCATCATCAATTTCATTTACTGATAAATTCTCCTCATCACCATCACTCAGACTTCGATCAACAATTGAATATTGTTCTTTTTTCTTTGTGTCAGACGTATTAATTGTATCACAAACCCGAATTATGTGAGGCCAATTATGTAATAATTTTGCAAAAAATGGATTTGTTACGCCTATGATAACAGATGGTGGTTGATCGGAATTTTTCTTCGATGATTGAAACGTATATTCATGAAACTCACTATTGTGTATTGTAAAAAATGGACGGTAATCTGATGCATATTGTAACTAAATAGATAAAACATTTTATAACGTTATAAAAAGCAGTTATCAACGTTTGTTACTTACCGGCCAAATAATATGCACTATTGCTTGAACTGTTTGAGAACAACTCGTCGGAAATGTCCCTAATACGGCGATTGGTTCATTCAGTAATACCAATTCCCAAAGAAGCTGTATATGATTAAGAACACAAGTTAATGATTGATACGTATTTACATCGTGTACAAATGGAATCAGACAAGGCAATTGTTGTCCAGGATGTTGAAAAAATACAAAAGTATTGTCATATGACGAACCTTTGTTTGTCTTAGTGGTCATTCTGATCTAGAATTATATAATATGCACTAATTTCAAGACAAATCTCCATATAAAAAAAGAACTATTTTTTTTGTTAGTAGATGTGTGACTCACTTGTTTGCTCACTGATATGGACGGCAGAGATACTGATAACTGTGCATCAGTTTGATAATTCTTATCAGCGTTTGCTGAATCACTGTTTAAAGTTAAATTATTCATCTCTGTACTATTATCGATGGGAAAATTTTGTTGTTGGTGTTGTTGTACAGGATGCGAGATTGTGCGATTATTTGTATTGGTTAAAATTGTACGAAATTGCACAAGATCAGATGATGAAAATGGTTTGTCACCATGAGTGGGTATTCTCACTTGTAAAACATTTCCCAACAACGGCAATAACAATGTTTTCCCTTAAAAGTGCGGCAGCTGATTTAATATAATATAATGAAGCAAAGTATTTCATTTACCCGGTTCTGGTTCTGGCCATTGATTATCCATTAGATGACAGCATGTTTCTAAACTTGCCAAACCTAATTCAAAATAATTTGGTCCCAATTGACTAACAACAGATAAAAACAATGAAACAAATGGTAATTTTGATAATAGTACAACAGATTTTTGAAAATAGCCACGTTTAATATTTTTATCTCTTATTTGTCGAAAATGGACGTAGCCATATAAATAATTAGGATCTACTTGTAATGCTGATGGTACAATTCGATTATAATGTTCATAATAGGACATTGACAGTGGAAGTTGATGACGTTGAGATGAACCAGATGACCATGAATCATGTTTAATACGAAAATGATATTGTGTATCACCTAAAAATGTTGAATTTGCATCGGGAAATGACAAATAACACAAGTTTAATTTTTCTTTATCCGATAATTTACAATGATGCGGTAATAAAAGTTCAATAGATTGACCCAATTCTAAATCAAATGTAACAACAACAATCGCATGAAGCCAGTATTTTAATCGATCCCATGGAAGTAACAACGGAGACATCGGTCCGGATGATGACAGTGGTGAGAGAGGTGGTTTTGTTGTTATTTCTGTTATGGGTGTTGCAATACGACGGGTACGTTCAGTTAATAAATCAATGTCTGAATGTGAACGATGAAATGACGAATTTGCATTCGATACATTTAACGACGATGATTTTATGTTTGTCATTTGTAACTATTGTTTAAATATCGGACAAAGTCATAGTAAATTGAATAATTCAATAATAGTGCACCTTGTTCTTGCAAAGAAAATCTCGTTAAGTTATAGAAGCTAATTGAAGAAGAGTAAAGAAGAGTAAATGTTCTGCAATGAGAATAATATATAATCAGACAAGGCACGCTAAACAAGAGATTTCAACACTATTATATGTGAACAAAATAAAACGCATACCATACTTTACACAATAGAAAAAAGCATTTCGATGATAAAAATTCTTTACAAAGCCGCATTATTCTCCTAGAATGAAGTTTAATAAAAGAATTTGTCACTATCAGATGCAAACTACAATCTAATCCTCCTATCTTATGGACTAGTAAATATCTGATCTATTTATAAATTTGTTATTTACCTTTTTAACAAATGTCTCGGTGTATTTTTCACAGATAAAGTATTCCTTTTTCCACTGTATGCTGTCAAAGTGCTTGTGTTGGTGTTTCCTTTCATCAAACCAAAATAATCATGTAATAAAAAATCTTTGAGTATATAGTAAAAGTCGCAATAAAATTAATCCAGAATTTCCTTTGTCTCGGTGATAAAAAGTTTAGCATAAAACAAACAGTGATTGAATACTGTATGAAGAAAAAGTGGAAAAGTAACAAAAGCGAAATACACAAGTGCAGATAGATTCCTTTCACGGAAAAAAACCTGAACAAATTGTACAAAAGAGATGATACACTTGAAAAACTGTCAGAAAAATATTGGAAAAATATGTGATATTATGTTCTTTTTTTAGAAAATCAATTCATTTAGATTTTATGCCCATGCATTTGACTAGAAGGAATGTTCAGGATTCTGATAATTACAACAATATAATCAAAACTATGTCATTAAATGTATCATGTTGTTTATGTTTACCAACTATAAATCAGAAGCAAAAGGCTGATTATTCTCGGTTATTTTAGCATTAATTGAACAAAAAAGGATAATATAAGAGTATAGATAAGCACATTTAGAACAACAAATCAATTAAATAAGACAAATAGCAGAAACCGTCACATTAAGTCAAGAAAGAAAAAAACAACAGAAAAAATTTGCTAATAAATGTCAAATAAAAACAATGTTAGTGCTCACTATACGCTTTTTTTAATTACAGTTTCTTCAAACTAATACTGTCCTACTATGTTTTTCTATTCACTGTTAGATACTACAGCTGTCTATGGCTGACACTGTTTCACATGTTTACTAGAATTTATTGTTCTAGTCTTTTGACTTGAATGTAGAAGCTCAACAAATGGTATCAACAATAGTTAGACTAACGGTAGTATCTAAATCGAAGAACAAAAGAGAATCGGAGTTACATGAAAATCATCAGTTATCCGTTAGATAAGATAGATATAAATAAGATACGAAATAATAAATTTAAAAATAAAAAAAGATAAATAAATCAGCTTTAAACAGATGCAGTAATAGTACATATTAACGTGTTCCAGATTCTGCTGGTGTTGAATTATGACTTTGACAATAAAGTTCTTTTAAGTGTCTTAATTCTTCGATTAATGCTTTATTTTGATTTTCTAAACCTGTAACACGTTCTTCTAAACATTTAATGTATTCTTTTTTCTTTCGTCGACATTCTCGAGCTGCTTCACTAAAATATAAAAAGAAAACAAAATTAAAAGCATGATGAAAGGAAACAAGACTGCTAAAAAAATATTACCGATTTTTTTGTAATCTCATTTCTCGTTTGTGTGACGGATCTTCTGTGTGTAGTTTACCTTCGTGATGTGATAAAGATGTTGTCGGTGTGTTAGTAGAAGATGAAGAAGACGATGGTGATAGACTATTTAAACCACTTGTCGAAATTTTATAATCATTAGATAAACCTAAATTATATCTTTTTCGTTTATAAAACATTTCTATTTTTTTTAACTATAAAATTTTGTAACCCCATTAGCCAGGAGATTCAAACTAGGACTGACAAAAGAAAGATAGGTATTTGCTTCATTACCTGGATGAAAGTATGTTCCAGTACCGCTGTCTTGACAAAGTATCGAAGGAGGATTAGGAATTAAATGAGATCCAGTGACTGGTATTGACATTGAAAGTAAACTATTGTTTTCATTTGATCCAAGATGTACTGTTGTAATCACTGAAAGAAAAAAAATCCTAGAAGAGTCTCTCTCTCTACTGATAAGCCATACCTGTTTGATGATCCGGACGAATATTGTTTGCACTACGTTGTTGCACTGATGGAGAGGACGATGAGCTAGGCGACTTTGTTTGTGAATTATTACGCTGTTCTGTGGTATTTGTTAAATTTGCCGTTTTATGCTTGTTAGTGGATACTAACGTTGCAGTTGAATTGGTATTACCATCCAGAATTAAATTTTGCTTTGAATTGGATGAAATTTTTTTGTCGTGTTTTGTTTCTTCTTCAGTATCGGAAATACGTTCCTCTTTTATACTACTATTTGTTCCACTTAGCAGTTTGTTATATGTTGGATGGGTTAAATGATTATTCGGATTCGTGATTATTCGATCTTCTTCGTTGTTATTGCCGTTAGTTTTGTCAGAATAAGAATCGATGGTTCTTAAATGTGAATTCGGTGGTGCCGGAACAACCTGGGAAAGAATAATGGAACTTTTAACGTCTATCGCTTTAAAAAGAATGTCAGAGGTACAAAAAATAAGTATTATATGTTCTTTGTGTTTCTTTTCAACAATAAGGTCTCTCTCAGAATCTGACTTTTTTCTGCAATAAAGAACAAGATACCTTACAGAAAACAAGCCTACTTTATTATACGTTCACAGATTTTGTAATTTGAAAGAAACACTTTTTATGCTTACTTGCAAGGTATGAATTTGGATATTTGGATTCGGTGCGACTACTAAAGATATTGATCCATCATTTGCTGCAAGGCTATGTAATAAATAGTTTTTGTTCGTCGCCATACACTCATGCTAAAAATAATGCTCCGATATAATGAAAAAAGCTGCCACAAGGAGGAAAAAGCAATCGAACTGAAAGTTTTTTGTGGTTACTGGAAAAATTTACTAGAAAGGCGGAATTTTCTTTCTCTCATATCTTATTTTATTGAACAGTAAACTCTTTCGTTGAGTTATCGAGAAGAGCACCCGTCCTCACATACGTACTCCAGTCAAATTAACTCGTCGAGATTAAAAACAGGACATGCACATTTGTTCGCTACAGGGAGCTGAGTTTTGAATGTTAAATTGCGCTTGTGGCAATAATTTCTACACACAATTTGATTTTGGAGAACGTAGTCTGTTCTACAGTCTGAAAGCAAAGGCAATTTGTGTCATGTCAATTTAAAATTTCGTTCGACAGTTTGTTATCTCAGAGAACTTTTGTTAATTATGTGAGAAAAGGATGTGGACTTCGAGAGAATGAGATTAGTGAACGAGCAACGGATAATTGTACCTAAATTAGGTGAGACTCATTTTTTATATCGAATCGTTTACTAAAATCAAGAATGTTATAGCTTCTATCTTTCAGGCACGAAATTCGACTGAAAAACGCTTTGCTTTCATTACAGCAACAATCTCGCTTATTTGCTACAGAAATGACCATTGAATTAAAGTCTTAGAAGCTTTCCTGTAACGGAACAGAGAACTTAAAAAAGATACTTTTAACACTGTATTTTAATTTTAAGTTGGGAATTTATTCGAAAGTCACTTTAAATTAAATGAATTTAATTTACGCCATGTGAAGCGAATGGACATGAGCGTCATCTTCAAGAATTTGGCTATAATTCATGGTGGGCTCCTATATTATACCTGAGTAAAATATAAACAGTTAAAATTTATTAAAACTCATTTCACGATAATTTATGCCTGGGCTACCGTCACCATTGAATGCTTAAATAAAAGAATAATTGCTAACTTTCATGGTCATAGTAGACTGGTAATTAGGGTTGACGTTGATGGTATAGTGAGTGTATCTTGAGTGTACTTTAGGGTTGATTGTATCTCTTTAATGTGATTCGGCAATTGGAGGAACAAATTACGATAACTATTTCTTTTGTATTCCTTTTTCTTTCCTCCAATGATGTGTTAAACCTCAATGACAATAAAGAAATTAATAAACAAATCAATGAACAAAAAACGAAAATCTTTATTTCTGCCAATATTTCTTACGTAATAACAAAAAGAAATTAATAAACATATCAATGAACAAAAAATGAAAATCTTTATTTCTTTATTCCTGCCAATATTTCTTACGTAATAATAAACCTGAACTCTCGATTCTTCTTTCCGTTTTGCTCACGTCTGTCCTTTATTTTCTCAGACTATAGTACGTTGCATAGTTTGAGATGAAAAAATGTCTTTATTTCGTGCACTTTTTGCTTTTTGAGCAACTGAAATTCATTAGATGGAAGTTTTGAGTTTGAACCAAAATAAAATGAGATTTCATTTCCTGTTTCAGTTTTTTCGGGCAAGCAACCATTACCGAGATAATCATAAAAACAGCGCCCTTTATAATGTAGCATAGTGGAAATCTCGGTAATCGTAGCTTGCCCCAAAAATCGGAAAACAGGAAATGAAATCTCATTTTATTTTGGTTCAAACTCAAAACTTCCGTCCAATGAATTTGAGTTGCTTAAAACCGAAGAGTGCACGAAATAAGCGTATTTTTTTCATCTCAGTCCACATATCAAGATTCTTTTGCGCAAAACTCGCACGTTCGCTCTGATACGATTAACAAGTAGTCATAATCTTGGTAGGATAATGTAACTTCTTATAATGAAAATCTGTTGTAGAAACTTAAAGCACAATCTTTTCATTTTTTCAAATATTCACTAATATCTACTATCGAAGGCTTTCTAATAACTAACTACTATTATCATCAACTCGGATTATTAACGCTTTTATTTTCAAAATGTTTTTTTAAATAGTAAGTACACAATGTTGTTCAGTTCAAATTTTTTTGTTTCCATTGTTCCTCATTTTAGTTATGCCCCTTGCTGAAATAGATTGCTCATCAAAATGCCGATCGAAACTTCATTATCGAGATTTAATAATAGTAGCCACTCAGAATATTTTGCCAGAAATAATATTAAATTATTTGATTCGGTGCGGAAATCTTGGAAGAGGTACTTTAGAGACGAATAATTTGTCTTAATTGATTAATTTTATTTGCGCTGTTCTTTATAGGTAACGATGAATTTGGAAGAAACGTGTTACATGTATGCTCGTCTATAGCAGAAAAATATACGATTGTTGAATGGCTATTAAAGTATAAAAAGATTGATATTAATATTAAAAATGTTGAGTCCGGTTATTCTGCGCTACACTGCGCCGTCTTTTATGGTCAAATACGGACAGCTGTCAACCTTATCAAAGTATGTTGTTTTTTTCTAGAAAAATATGGCAATTTTAGTACGATTTATCTTAGGCCGGAGCTCTATTCACTCTTGACAATGATTATTTGACACCTCTTGATCACGTGATTCGAGATACATATATTGAAACACGTGTTCAAGATTCAACTGGCGAGCGATATGCTCTCGGTAATCAAATATCAACCATGCTTAGAAAAATTGTTTATTCAAAAATATCTTTTCAGAATCATACGATGTTTACACATTTGGAGAAAACACAAATTCAAATCTTGGCCATAATAGCGAAACAGCAAAAAAAACACCAGAAATAATCGACATATTTCGTCGATATTCAATATGCATAACAAAGGTGAGTGATGACTTTCAATAACCTTTCTAAACGTTTATTCATCAATACTAGTATTAGAATAATATTTAAAATTAATTTTTTTTCATTTAGGTTAAGATTGATAAATTTCATACGGTTTTCTTAGCTGATAATGGCAGTGTATATTCTTGTGGATTTGGTGTTGGTGGACGTCTAGGCCATGACAATGAAGAATCAGTTGTTGTAAGTCTTATAAATTAGTGATCATGTCATCATGGAAGCTGGCTTTGACTCACCCTCTCACTTTCTCAATAAGTATTTTTGCCCAGTAGATTTGACGAATAGTTTCATTTTGCCCGATCGTCTGTTGGCAAAATTTTTTTCCGTTAATAAACTTTTCACGGATCTCCAGTAGTACAATACCGTATAAACAAACGATAAACGTTTTCAGAAAAATCATCGTAGGAAAAGCATGTCGGAAAATTTAGGCACGGTCTTTTCCTCTACATAAAAAAAATCCTGAAATCATCACTATTATTGTGTATCGAAGCCTTTTGGTTGTTGTAGATTCCGAAAAAGATTGAAATGATGGAATTAATCAAGGAAAAAGAATACGATCGATGTGTTGATATAGAAGTATCGGTTGATAATACCTATTTTTTAACAGAAAAGTATGTAGCATATTCAAAGATTATAAAGCATGTACTATTTTGCGACTTTTTTTTCGCTTAGAGGATTTTTATGGAGTTGTGGTTTAAATCAATATCATCAACTGGGTCATCCAACATTAACAAAAGTCTTAGTTCCAACAAAAATTCAATTCCGACAACTAAAAGATAAAAAAATAACGAAAATGGCTTGTGGAAGATTTCATTCAGCGCTTATTGTTGATGATCAATTGTATACATTTGGTTTAAATGCTGGACACTTAGGTAAAATCTCACTCTTGTTCTGAGTCGATTCTTAATAACATAAGACAAAAGATATCTCTCTTATTTTTCAGGTCATCAAAAAGGCGAGCAGTTTATTCAACACCCAATGTTGGTAACAAAATTTAACAGTAAAGAAGAGTACGTGCAAAAACTATTGTGTAATGACTATGCTATTATATGCTATACAAACAAAGGTGATATCTATGTATTAAACGATTACAAACCTCGAAAAATTGTTAAAAAGTATGTTTTATCTATTTCAACAAATATGTTTGTTCCTCACTGTGCTGGAACTCTTTTATTCAAAAGAACATCATGTATACATATCATCCTGTCTCGTATTTTAGTGTATTAAATATTACCGAGTTAGGCGTGACTGGTGGTCGATTAGATTCTAAAGTAGAGTCAAGCGGAGTTCTCAAAGAAAATGTTGGTGATGATTTGAAATTATTTTACTTACAATCCGCGAAAGTATGTAGTCTATTGATATTTGATTGTCGACTAGTAACTAAATATCTCCAATTTTGTTTTAGCTTTATATTTGGAATGAAAAAGATTGTTTAAGAAAGTTATGTTTATGGACTACTCATCAAAAATTACTAATTGAACATATAGCAGTCGGCAGTTCAGCTCTTATTTTTACAACCATAGAAGGTCAAGCATATACAGTTAATTTAGATAAGTTATCAATTGGAAAAAAGTCAAAGCACGATCAAGGTAACAAATAATATAATGACAGTGGAATATTAACAGTAAAAAGCGTTTCTTGTTTTCATCATTTCAGATACTAGTAATTCAATCTATGATGAAGGTCGAATTCAAACATTAACACCAGTAGCTGTTCAATTTCTACATCGTTCCCGTTTTGTTACAGTCGATCGGAAAGGACGAACATTTTCTGCCCTACAATATCATCCAAATACAAAGTAAAACATAAACAAACTCATCAACAGTTTTTAGATCAAAAGTAAATATCGAATTATTCTATTGTTCTAGTTTAAATGCATATCCAAGATATCCAACGAGTATATTTGATGAAGATATTAATCGTTTGTTTGATGAGAAAGATCATTATGATTCTGTCCATGACATTATCGTTAAAATTAATCAACACGAATTTCCTTTACATCGGTATATTTTGGCAATGAAAAGTGAATATTTTCGAAAATTAATTTTAAACATGAATGAAAATGAAAATATAACTACCGATAAACCTAGTAAGAAAAAGAAAGAAAAAAACACACAAGAATTAATTATTGATGATATCGTTGATATTGATATGTTTAAACTAATTTTGGAATACATTTATGGTCAAAAATGTCCATATATGACATTGTGTGAAAGAGCAAAAGACAAACAAAATGCATTATTATTATATACGAATCAACGTCATGATGAAAATGATTCAAATGATGATGATAACGACTTTAATAATAATCGAAAAAAGAAATTTCAAAAATCAAAGAAGAAGAAAAAAGGTTTGTTGTATGTTTATAACTGATAACTTTTACATGAAAAGTAAACTTGTGATATCAATCAATTTCGTCTAAAAAAACAAATATGATCATAAAATTATTTCTACCTTATCATAACTCTCATCAATGGCATGTCCAGGAATTTTTCAAGGAATGAAAAACCAAATCAAAAATTCTTATACATTGAAAAAAACGAATTTCTCCTGGAGCTAAAAAGGAGTGGACCATGGCTATCACTGGTCCAATGGTGGGTACGCCGCTTTATATGATATAGATTTTGTTAAATGTTTTTTTAGTTTTGATATATGTAGACTCTAAGATATAGTCTGTTTAATTCCAGCTGTTGTTAATGATACTGTTACCAGTGCAACACTGCAAAAAGATGAACTGTCCTCCAACTTAGATCAACTTATTGATTTATCCAAACGATTTCAATTACATAGTTTAAAGAAACGGTACGCTAACACGTTCAATTTGATTTATGAGCATTAAACTAACATTTCATTTGTGCCTGAGTGTAGATTAGATAGCGTTAAACAAAGTCGTCAACGAAATGAACTTATCGATACCGACATAGGCCAATTAAAGCTAAAAAATCATTTTTCTCGTCAAGCATTGTAAGTAATCAGAAAACAAGGGAATTTAACGTTGTTTCTTTATCGGATTACAATTTTTTTCAGACCTGAATTGTACGACGTTTCGATTGTTGCCGAAGATGGCAACAAACTTTTCTGTCATAAATGCATTTTGACATCTCGAATGGAATATTTTCACAGTATGTTCTTAGCTGGTTGGATGGAGGTAAATAACTAAATAATTTCTTATTTCTAATCAATATTTTGGTAATCTCCACGTTGTCTCTTTTTTTTTAGAGTCAGAATAATCCTGAATTGAAGATGACAATACCGTCGAATCTATTAGAAATTCTAATTGATTATTTATACACCGACAAGTTAACTGACAAATGTATGCGTTTCATTTTTTACTCCTTCACTGACGACTTTTTTTTACAATGGACGTGCTTTAGATAATATTGAATTATTATGTCAACTACTTGTTTACGCTGATCAACTCTTAATTCCAAGACTGAAAGAAATTTGTGAATTTCATATTTCAAATCTTAGTATGTTCTCTATTATATATGCGTCTCTATTTCCATCTTTTGATTTCATTATGTTTTTAGTAACATTTCGGGATGCTGCCGATATTTTGAAATTTTCGTCTACTTACAACGCTATAGAATTAAAAGCATTTGTTGAACAATTTATTTGTCGAAATATGGCAACGTTTCTTGAAGGACGGTATGAACAACGTTAAAAACATTTTTCGCCTATCATTATCAATTTTCATTTTTTCAGGTTATTAGACAATGTTGATGATGATTTACTAAATGATTTGACTAAATCCTATCGGAACATGGTAATGATGTGTTATTTATTTGTGTAAATGCAGCATTAATTCATTTTTTTCTTTCTAGTTGGACTGCATGAGTTATCGAATGATTACTCCGTACAGTGATTGCCCTTCATTAGAGCCAATTATGAATGATTTATTAACACTTGAAGAGCTTAATGAAATAGCCGTTGATAATGATGATCTCAAGAAACCAAAACGAAAACAAATTAGGTACGAATTAAACGTAGATATTGCCGCGGATGAAATTTGACTAGTGCTGGAGATTTAAAGCCATTTTATTCGTAGATTACGCATGTCTGAAGGTGACTCGAAAACTGAGAATTTCTCTGTTATCACACAAAGAACTAGTCCAGACGCTGTATCAACACTAGTGGCCGAGAAAACAAATGGAGTCTATTCAACAATTCCAAAAAATACACAAGAAGACAAATGGATATCGGTAAAAGCCCCGAAAGACAAAGTGAGTGATTTTAATAGTTTGATTGTTTAGCTAAATGTTTCGTTTTTTTAGAAGCAGAATAAGCCAAAACAATTAACGCCATCATCAAAAGCACAAATGTCAACAGCAAATGATACTAAGGTGGTGTCAAAGCCCTTAATACCTGGTGCTACTTACTCTCAAAAAGATGGTAAATTTGTTCAACGCATATACTTTTCTGTCATTATTTCGTTTATGTTTCAGTTATCAAGTTAGCAGCTATGAAAAAGACGTCAGTGAATAGTTTGATCTCGTCAACACTGCACGACATTGGGAAGCAGCAAAATATGCCTTCGATTAATGAATTAGAGTAGGATGAGACATTTTACTTGTACGTGTTTAGTTGTTGTTTTTTTATTTCTTTTATAGATCTGTGAAAAGCCCGAAAGTTTTAGCAAGTAACGATGCAACACGATCAGCCTGGTAAGTATCAGTCTTATTGGTCCTATCTTAATGCATACTAATCTGACGTATGATATTTATACATTTGTTTTCTTTTCCAGGAATGTATCAACTCATTCAGTTTCTAAACTTTCAATTCAAGACGTTATCGAGAATGATACTACTCCAGCTAAAAAAGCAAAATCATCAAAAATACCTGCGCCAGTATCAATAACAGCGACGAATCCTGAGTAAGTTACTCTAAAATACTCGTATCTGAAACTATTCTCAAAATGCTTATTTGAGGTAGTTTCCTAAATTCACCTTTTCGAATATAAGAACATGTGGATAGTTACGCTATATATATATATATATACTTCTTTTTCTTTAGACCAATCGTTATTCGATCCGATCCAGTATCCATAGCATCACCAGCAGTTCAATCACCAATAGAAAATCCCTGGTCAATTTCTCCAAAGTCACCACCACAAACAGCATTATTTCACCAATTATCTTCTCCTCCGCCCCATTCGTTCAGATCAATTTTGGATGATGAAATGCGCCAACGAGAAGCATTAAGACAAGTAACCAATAAATCGTTTGAACTGATTCAGATCGAAGAGCATGCAATTCAAGCATTAAAACGATTATATTCCGTTGATCAACAATTTGATATGAGAATTACAGTTGAACGAGTCGTTCCTCTCACAGCAAATCCAATTTGGCCTCGTACACCTACAACATCTTCAACTGGATCAAATAGCATAGGTTCTGGAAAAAAAATTCATTTAAATCCGTTTATTTCTAACAATAAACGGTAACTAAATTCGAAATTGGAAGAGAGAACAATAGAAAAGATAGAGGAGAAGTGAACGTATGAAACTGCTACATCGAACATTTTAATTTGCATTGGTTTTTACAATAATAACATTTAGTATTGTATTGAAAACATTCGACACTCTTTATAAATCATCATTAGAAACAAAATGACGAGTAGTCAGGATGACTACTACTTTGTTATTTCGTCTCTTTTCTTCTTTTACAATTTCATCACGATGGCGTGTGGTATGTTTGAATAAAGTCGAAAACTCGCATTCTACTAGTTACTGTTATTTATTGTAAAATTAGTTTAAAAACGATAAAAAGTTCTTAGTAGAAGTTTTACATTTTTCCAAACAATTGGGTTCGTTTCTTTTTTTTTTATATCGATTTATTTTACGTTATTTTTTCATTCCCATTTAGGTTTCTAATCACGCAAGCTTTTGAGATTTGCTTTTTTTTTTTGTTGTTTGTTCGTTTTTTCCCTGTTACTGATGACTCTATTCATCCGTTTTGTTTGAATGATATTGTTATAGATTTATTTTGTTCCATTTGTTTTTTCTCTATACATGCAAAATTTTGTATGAATATACATTTTTCAAGGAAAGACGGTTTATTTTCACTATGACTTCGCATCAGACGAAAATATTAGAAACGACTTTATTTTATTAAAATAAAAAAACTAAGTTTAATGAAAATCATCGTTGAATTAATGAAGAGTCATGTGACAAACTTTGCACTATCAATGATTTTATTTATAAATGTTTTAAATCACATATTAGAAAAGAGAAATGAATAAGATACGATTGATCATTACATTTGTAGGATGTTCGATTTATTTGAATCGTATAAATGTATGTTATTTCTTAGATGCAATCAATTTCTTCTTTAAAAAATGTTTTATCTACTCATATTATTTTACGGTATACTGTTTTTTTTACACGAAATATAACGACGAATACGACTCATCATGATTTTTCCACTTCCTCTACAACTCTTTCTAATTCATCGGTAATCTCAAGTCATAAAACTCCATCATCAACTTTAAATTCAAATCAAACAACCATTTTACCTCAATATATGCGAGCGTGGTTAATTTATAAATATGGTGATAACAGTCAGTTAACATTTGACAATGTTTCATTACCAATTTTAACGTCACCAAAAGATGTATTAATTAAAGTGTCAGCAAGCAGTGTTAATCCAATAGATTTCCGACGTAGACGTATGCGACAGTGCATTTGTCATAATAATAGTTGATTTTTCTATTTTTTGTTTTGTTTGTTATTGTTGTTAAAAGGTGGATACGCTGGAAATATACTCAATATATATCAGTTAATTAAAAATCGTCTAATGATTGATGTATCAACTTCGGAATTTCCATTAATCTTGGGAAGAGATTTTTGTGGAGAGATTGTACGTTGCGGTCCAGCAGTGACAAAATTCAAATGTGGAGACAAAGTATGAAAAGTATGAGGCAAAAATCAGTTGTTTTCTTTTTCTCTTAGCTTTTTAATTATTTTTGATGAGATTACTTAAGGTTTATGGTGCTCTTCAAATAACACGACAAGGCTCATTTGCTGAATATTGTACGGCAGCAGAAAATGAAGTAAGATATTCAGTGTACTAATAATTATTCAATTTATAATATGTTTCTTTCGCGCACAGATATGCTTAAAACCCAATAATCTTACTGATGAAGTTGCGACAAGTTTACCCCTTGTATCTCTGACCAGTTGGTATGCTTTGAGAAAATTTGGTGGGATCACTCCAGAAAATGCTTATGGAAAACGGTAAGAATTATTACTTCAATGAAAAAGTATTTTAATAATTTTGTCCATTTTTTAGTGCTCTTTTACTAGGCGCCAGCGGAGGTGTTGGTCACATCGCGTTACAGGTACATTAAATAGCTATTTCGAGTTTCTAAAATTTTTCTAACATTGCACGTGACTGTTGTTGACGTTGTAAAATTTTAAGGTCTATGAACAACAGAAACATTATTTTATTCATGCTATTGTATTTTTCTAGTTATTAACAAATTTGGGCATTGAAACAACCGCTTTATGTGGCGAGAAATCATTTGATTTTGTACGAAGTTTAGGAGCTTACGAGACAATTGACTACAAGAGACCTGATTTATTTGACGAACTGAGTCGTAAACCTAAGTAAAGTTGTATAAAAATGAAATATTCAAAGGATTATTTTCTGACATTTGTATTTTTATTTTAGATTTCAATTTGTGTTGGATACTATTGGATCATCTAACTACAATGTTGACCGTTTGGTTCCAGTTATGTCACCCGGTTCAACATTTGTCACTATCATCAGTCCTTTATTTCGAAACACCGATAAATATGGAATACTGCCTGGCTTATCGCGATCAGCATATCAAGCAGTGTCAACAACTTTGAAAGTAAGTAGTGCAGCTATCTTAGAACTATTTAATCTTATAATTGCTGTAAACAATTACTTGTTTTAAGGGCTTATCAAATGGTATCAGTTACAGATGGGCATTTTATATTCCGGATGGTTCCGTGTTAAACGAAATAAAACAACTAGTGGAACAAGGAAAAGTTAGTAATTCATTTTTGGTTTTGTTTTTGAAATATCAATCTATTTCGTTATTTGTTATAGCTAAAGCCTACAATTGATAGTGTATATACATTTCAACAAACACCTGATGCAATAGAGAAAGTGGAAAATGGAAGAACACGTGGAAAAGTAGTTATTAAAATGTAAAAGTTAAAATTTATGTTTTAATGTAAAGGTTTTTTCGTGTATTTTTGTAATTTTTTTTTATTGATACTGCGTTATTATTAAAAACAACAACGTCTGATATCGTCTTCCATATATCAACATCCTTGTACTTGTTGGAAAATAGAGGATTGCTTAATTCTGCTTTGCCTATGTATGTAAGTATCTTATTTTTTTATACATCTGCAGAAAAAAATATATTTAAGATGATAATAGAGCTTTTTTTTTTGAGTTCTACAATGTACTATTAGATGACGAAAAAAATATCTTGTTTTTGAAATGACGACAATTGTTGATTATGATTTTGATGATGTTTTTCTATTGTGGAATTGCTTTCAAAAGATGATGGACTTCTTCTGCTACGGTGACAAATACAAATTCAAATTGATTCTAAATTTAGAAAAAAGAAAGAAGAAGATGATAGTTAATAAATCACATTTACACAAGACATACTTTTGTTTTCACCATTTTTGCTCGTTGATCCCGAATATGTTCGAGTGCTGCAGCAATATCAATTTCTCTTGCACCTATAATGAAAATATTAAATTTTATGGATAATATATATCATGAATTTTTAAGAAAAATGATGAGATATACGAGCTGTATGCATATATATATATATATCACCATTTATGATGTAAAATAGTCTTTGTTCATTGAATGTTTACCTTTAATTATGCGATTGAGTACCATATCTAAGAGAATGTACGTTCCTGTTCGACCAACACCATCACTAGAGGAAAATGTGGAGTGTATTTTAGCTTCACATATAAAAATTGTTTGTTTTTTTGTTTTACATACTTGCAATGAACAATGATAGGCGATGATTTTCCACGATAACATTTGTTCACCTTTCTGAAACAAGATGGTACATAGTAATATAACTCCAAAAAAAAAAAAAAACACAAAATTCATTATATAAATAGTTTTTCATATTTATTTTTTTTTATATTCGCATAATGATCCGTTACTTATTCAAAAATTTGGTCGCTTTTGTGACTATGCAATTATTAGAAACAAAATCACAAAGTAACAAAAGCTGCCAAATAATATGAATTATTATGTCTCTATTTGAATAGTTGTGAACAAAGTTTTTCTATATTTAATGAATAAGCGTCAAAATCAAAGAAGTTCATGCATAAGTTTTTATTACACTTTTAATTAAACAAACATCAGAAAAAAAGATCCAATTAAATAATGATATAAGAATCTTTTTTTTTTTTTTTTTTTTTTTTTTGGATTAAAAAAAAAAAGGTTGCAAAAAAAAAAAACATTTTTCAAAAAATAATTTTAAAATTTATTTTTGGCCCCGCCAAAAATTTTGTTTATTTTTTTTGTATTAAATATATATTTAA